TGCACACAGGCTGGCCCCAGGCTGGGAAGACCAGGAGGGTTCTCTAGCAAGGAAGGAACTACACACATCACTCAGAAGCTACCCCCAGGACTAACTTATCTGCATTTTGCAAATGCATGAATTGGGGCCTTTCTTTTCTATTGCTTTGCTGACATCATTGCTAACCAGAGATGTCAAAACCCACTTGTGAGCGAAATGAGTCCCTTCCCATAGCTTAGTCCACTCCTTCCCTTCTCCACAGCTTAGCATGCTCCCTTTTTGGCAGCGCTAGGCCCATGTAGTAAAGGCAGTAAATAATCAACTTCCAGCCCCCTTACCTTGGGATGGCACTCCTCTGGGGCAGCTACCACTATATAAGGCAACAAGAGCCCCTTAGAGTGACCCTCAGGTCTGGGCAGCTGCAGGACCCCTTATCTACCATTTGGACAGCAGCCATAAATCCTAGTCCACCATGATGAAGCCCCTGGCCCGCACGTCCACACCAGAGTCTTCTCCTCCTAGCTCCTTCTAGCCCCTCCTAAGCCTCCTAGGTTATATAGGTCACCCCAGACAATAGCTGGTGGTGCTTCTCATTCCTCCCTTGTGAGAAGGGGTCTTGCTGGCCCCCCTTTCCAGGCAATAAACCTTTCTTTGTTCTCTGTACCTGGATGTCTGCGTGGTTCTCTGGCAAAGTTATGAGTCTTAATTTTGCTAACACCACTTTCAGTGTTTGAGTCCTGAGGAGCCTTCATGTTCTGTCCAATCAACTGATTTCAGCCATGAACTCTCAGGGTGGAAAGACTGGGCCACTTTGCACACTCCATGAAGTTTCTTCACAGCATCTCCCTGGCGTCTGGGAGCCTGGTTTTGCTCAGCGGCATAAAAGCTCCCTATTCTCTTCCAATCTCCTGAGGGTTCTGTTGTCTCCCACCAAGGACCCCCAAATTCTTCTTCCAAAATTGCAGTCTTTACCTCTGTTTTTTTTTTCCTTCCAGGAGTAAACATTTTCATTAAGACTCTTCTGTTTTTTAGGGGGCAGGGAGGGGAGTGTGGAGGACTGGCTTGGTTGGCAGAGCACCAGCCAATGAGCAAAGCATGAGGTACTGAGTTTGAATCCTGGTCTTGCAACAACAAGAAAGAAAGGAAGGAAGGAAAGAGAGAAAAAAGAGAAAGAAAGAAAGAAAAAAAGAAAGAAAAAAAGAAAGAGGGAAGGAGAGAAGGAGAGAAGGAAGGAAGGAAGGAAAGAAGGAAAAAAGGAAGGAAGGAAGGGAGGGAGGGAGGGAAGGAGGGAAGGAAGGAAGGAGGAAAGGAGGGAAGGAGGGAAGGAAAGAAGGAAGGAGGGAAGGAAGGAAGGAAGGAAGGGAAGGAAAGAATGCTTTTTATTTTCCAAAATGAAATTATGCTGGTTCTTTCTAAAAATAATATGGGGTTTGCCTTTGTACCGTCCCTGGCTGCCCTATTGGGAACATGCTTTGTCAGCGTCTCCGCTTACAGTGTGGTGGCAGATCTGGACAGCTTCTACATCATTATCTAAATGACACAGAGGGAGAAGCAGGGATTTTGCCTTCCCTACTCTGGGCTCTGCCACTCTATTTAAAGAGATATAGAGTATGCTTCTTCTGCCTGACTTTCTTGAACCTTGCTTCTTATTAACTGCAACATTACCTCTTCCTGCTCTGAGAAAATCAGATTTATGCAGATTTCTAAGTCTAGGAAGCTTTGTGTACTCATGTGTAAAACGAGCCTCTGCAAGGATCCATATGTTTGCCTGTACCTGTGAATTTCCTGGAAGGTGCTAGAACTGCTGGCTGAGTCCAACACCGGAGGGACATGGGCCTGGCCTTAGGTAACTTTTGAAGCTCCAGGTGTCCGTATATGTACTCAGGGTTGAAGAAATCAATCTGAGAATCTGAGCCTCCTAGTTATTTTTTTTTCCTTGAGCCGTAAGCCTCATTTGCACGCGCTTGTGCGTGTGTGCACACACACTGTGGCTTGAATTCAGGGCATGGATGCTATCCCGTAGATTTTTCTCTCAAAGCTGGCACTCTATCCATTTGAGCCACAGCTCTACTTCTGGCATTTTAGTGGTTAATTGGAGATAAAGAGTCTCATGGATTTTCCTGCCCAGGCTGGCCTAGGACCATGATCCTCAGATCAGGCTCCTGAGTAGCTAGGAATACAGACTACTGGTACTTAGCTGAGCCTCCATTTTGGAGTTGAACTAGCAGAACTGAGCTGGTTCTTGTTGGGTGTAACTTGAGATTATTCTAATTGGAACTTGTACCAAAGGAAAGACCAGTCAATTTGGTTACATCTGATATTTAACTGAAAATAAGCTTTAAAAGATCAGGCTTAGAATCCTGGCTTCTAATTGGTGCTTTTATTTACTGGCAGAATGACCCAAGCGCCTGGTCAATTACCCATCTTGAAGTCTCTATCTCTATAAAATGAAGGGCCTGGTCTACAAATGCTTACCATGCTCTAAATTTTGAATCCATTTCCAGGAGGGCTTGAGAATTTTTTTTTCTGCCATGGGGCTTGAACTCAGGACCTGGTCACTGTCTCTGAGTTTTATTTTTGCTCAAGGTTAGCGCTCTATCATGGTGAGCTCCACTCTCCCACAGCTCTACTTTTGTTTTTTGGGTGGTTAGTTCTATATAAAAGTCTCATGAACTTTCCTGCCTGGGGTGGTTTGAGCTGTGATCCTCAGACCTCAGCTTCCTGGGTAGTTAGTACGCCAGTACCCAGCTTTTTTTTTTTTTTTTTTTTAAGGCTTGACCTCAGTGTCTCACTCTCGAATTTGGCTTTTTTGCTCAAGCTGGTGCTTTTCCACTTGAGCCACATCTCTGATTCCAGCTTTATTTTATTTTTTTTGTCTGTTATGGAGCCTGAACTCTGGGCATAAACGCTGTCCCTCAGCTATTCAGCTCAAGGCTAACACTCTAACACTTGAGCCACTGTGACACTTCCAGTTTTTTGAATGGTTTATTGGAGATAAGACTCTTCCTTTGAACCCGATCATCAGATCTTAGCCTCATGAGTAGCTAGGATAACAGGCGTGAGCCACCAGTGCCCGGCTAATTGGAAATAAATGATCTCACAAACTTTTCTGCCTGGTCTGGTTTTGAGGCTGATTCTTGTATCTCAGCTTCCTATGTTCAGGAAGTCATCAAGATTGTGGAAAGCTCAAAATATTTCTCATTATCTCTGGATTCAGAGTCCAGAGTGCTCACCATTACACAATAGAACCTCCTTCTCCTTATCTCTATGCTTACCTATGCTTCTGTCTTCTTATCTGCCAATAGAGTTGTACCTTCCAGGTGGTGAGCAGAGCAGTTGTAAAGATTAGTTTTCATTTTGCCTAACATCAACTTATCTGACTGTTTCTGCTTGTCTCAGACATATACTAGTTATTGCAAATCAGGGAAGCCATGGGACCTATGTTTTTTTTGGGCCTGGCTTACTTCACTTATATAATGTAATTTGGGGAGGAGAAGGGAAAAAACAAATTGTTTAAATAGGGATACAGGTGGACCCATTGCAACAATGAGATGTACAAGATGTTATGTCGAAAAATGAACTTTACAACTATGGGGATTGGGGGGGAGATGGGAGGGCAGGGATGGTAAGGGGAAACAAAGGAGGAGCCAACAATGCTTGATAAGAAATGTACTCAGTACCTTGCTCATGTAATTGTAATCCCTCTGTACAGTATTTTCACAATTAAAAAAAACTTATTAAGAGGAAAAAAAGATTTGTTTTTAATTAACATCAATGTTGTATACAGACAAAATAGGACATGATTCAACCTTTAAAGGGGAAGAATTTCTATCCTTTGTGACCTGGGGAGAGGTTCCTGAGATCTCAGTTCCATGTGGAAAAGAACAGAGCTGATTCAAGAGCAGAGCACAGAGGGGCAATTCATAACATCAGCGCATAGAAGGGTGGATGGGGGAAAGCAAGAGAGATGTTGGCCAAAGGCACAAAACTTCAGAGCGCAGAAATGTTTCAAGATCTATTCTTGCACAACAGAAAACTATACTCAAGACTGACTTACTCAATGATAATATATATTTCAAAATAATCAAGAAGTACATTTCAAACAACTCAATACACACACACACACCCACACACACACCCCTACACACCTGCATGCATGCACATACACAACAAAGATAGGTAAAGCGAAGTCATGACTATGGTAATGAGCTTACCTTGATCATCCACACTGTATCTTATACAATTATGATTTGTGAATAAGTAATGCTAATATTATCAATAAATAATAAAAATAATATCGACAATTAAATAAATATTCCATGTTACAGCATTAACACTTGAAATTATGACAATTTCTAAATGTTAAAAAGTTTTCTTTTACTATCATTTAAGCAATGTTTTCTCTGTTGATTATATCATATTTAGTAATAAAAACAAAAAGAAGCCCAGTATAGTGTCATGTACCTGTAGTCTCAGCTACCCAGCAGGCTAATGCAGAAGTCTAGGAGTTGAAAGCTAGTCTGGGCAACAAAGTGAGATCTAGCTTCTTAAAACAACAACAAAAGCCAGCATGGGGGGTTGGGAGGGGGTGGAGAGGAAGGGGAGAGATGGGAAGGGATGGGAAGGGGAAACAAAGGAGGAGGCAACCATGCTTGATAAGAAATGTACTCATTACCTTGCTCACGCAATTGTAACCCCTATGTATGTGTCACAATTAAAAAAAAAAAAAAAGCCAGCACTGGTGATTACAGATTACACCAGTAATCCTAGCTATTCAGAAGGCTGAGATCTGAGGATTGTAGTTTGAAGCCAGCTCAGGCAGGAAAGTCTGTGAGATTCTTATCTCCAGCTAAGACTAGAAAACCAGAAGTGGAACTATGGCTCCAAGAGCCAAAAATCGCCAAGGACAACGCCCAAACCCTGAGTTCAAGCCCTATGACTAACAAAAAACAAACAAAAAGACCACCCCAAAACAAAACAACAACAAAATAAAATAAAGAGACAGAGAAAAAGACACATACCTGGAATCCTATTGAGTGTCACCCAGAAATGTTCGTCAGGACTATAAGTGTCCTTGGACCATGAGAGCAAGTCCAGTGCCTGCTGGTCTTGGAGGACAAAATTAGCAAATTCCCTTGTGAGAGCCACATAAGCAGTGCCAAAGTAAATGGCCATATTGTGTGGAGGAGGGGTTTTTAACTTTGCTGTTTTATGTACATAGGAATTTTTTCTGTCTAACAATTCCTTGTGGACATACTTAGTCCTCCCGACAGCGTGGGCTGGGGGCAGCACCCCTGGGGTGAGATTCTTCCCTTTAAGTTCTTTCAGATACTGCACGATTTCCCTGTTGGTCTTCAGGGGGAAATCTTGCCCACAGGTGTTGAGGAGGTACTTCCAGGGGACCTCGGAGGTCACCAGATCCTTCATGCAATTCAGGTCAGCCTGGAGCCTGGAGATCCCACCATAGACCACGGATTCCATCTTGGAAGCCAGAAATGTGTTAGGGAAGCAGCTGAGTAACTGTCCCACGGAGTTTTTAAACTCCTGCGGGGCTTTCTCATCCACATGAATGCAGTAGACGTTTTGAGGCATGTAGATGGCCCTGAAGAGCCTCTCAAAAGTGCCAAAATCTTTGTGGATTGTCAGTGTGAACGCCAAAGGGAAAGCAGCTTCTTCTTCAGAGAGAGTTTCTGTTATATAATGATTTTGAACCTTATACTCGTAGCAAGTGGATGTGTTGAGGGTGGTCTTCAGCGCATTTTCTGTAACATGAAACCCCTCCCCTTCAATCATTTGAAGACAGATCTCTGCTAAGAGTGAAGTATTGGCCAGAGCTGCCGGCAGAAAACGTTTCTTATCCCGTAACTTGTTATTGTAAATAAACACAAAAGTCAGAGCTGTAGCAAGAGACAGGCTAAACAGACAGTATTTTGAACACCTCATCGTTTGAGGAAGCAGGAAATGAGTCAAATGTCTTCCCAGATTTCACCAGAGCAAAGATAGATTTAACTCACATTTTCTCCAGGTACCAGCATCATCCTTGCTTTCTTTCTTTTTCCTCCTTCTTCTTCCTCTTTCTGTCTTCATTTATGGTTTTGTTTCATTGTCCTTTTCCTTTGAGGTTGTTTCTAAAGCGGTCTCTTTGCTGAGTCTCTCACTCATTCCCAAACTGTCACTACATAGAAGCATACCACCTCAGGGAGGTTCCATCACACGGTGCCTTACCTATCCTTGTGGCAGAATGGTTAGCAGGTAAGGTGACCAGCCAGCAAGCCATCACCACGCTAGGATTTCAAACCCAACCTCTTTTCCTAGCCAAAGGCTGGTGTCTGTGGTCTGTGCCTGGCTTCCTGTTAATCATTGCATTCAACGGACGGGTTTGTTTGTTTAAACAAGCTGCCAAGTTAAAAGCTTCAGTTAGAAACATGTGAACACTGCCTGGAGAGATATTCTGTCAATTAAAAAAAAAATGTCCTGCTTAAAAATAAATTGCTTAACCCGGTCTTTTTCCACACACACTCAGCCTTCCCCTGCTCCCACCCACTCCTCCTTGCTCCTCTTCCCATTGGCTGGGTATGCAACAACAAAAATGCGACAAAAAGCACCACAGCAGACCGGCTGGGACGCTAACTTCCACTCTCTCAGTTATCTCTGGTTATCTCTGCTTCTAGGGAAAGTCCTCCAGCAAAGCAATCACTTCATTTAGCAAGCTGTCTCCACTATCTGATCTTCCTCTACAAAATCACCGGCACCTTTTGATGAATAGAGACTAACTTGTACGTTTGTTTGAAAGAAGTTACAGCTTGTCATCACCCTCAAAATTTTCATAGAGGCTGAAGTTAGTCAATGTGCAGTTCGTGTTTGCCTTTGTTTGAGTAGGATCTAGGCTGCTATCTTCATTTTTTTTTCTTTGGGTCCGGTTGTGGGGCCTGACCTCAGGGCCTGGGTGCTGTCCCTCAGCTCTTCAGCTCAAGGCTAGCGCTCTACCACTTGAGCCACAGCGCCACTTCCAGCTTTTTTCTTTTTTGCTTATGTGGGGCTGAGGAATCGAACCCAGGGCCTCGAGCATGCAAGGCAAGCGCTCTACCACTGAGCCACCTTCCCAGCCCCCAGAGATTCCTTTTTT